GGACCAGGTGACTGCAAAGGGAACTCACTCACAAGACTGCGTAGGATTGGCAACCAAAAGTGACTAGGTAGTAATGGCTCAAGCCTCTCTAGCTTGTCATATCAAAGCGCTTAATTTGATGTGAGGCAGAAATAAACAACTCAGTCTCCCAAAGCTCAAACAACTAAGGCGGAGGCATTGACAGTCTGTTAATCGGTGGTAAAAATATTTAACTGTTGATCAAGGGTAACAGCATTAACATTTAACTCGTCTTTTACATCGACCGCAAAAATAAGGATCGTGTTTACAAATGAAGTAGCAATTGCTATCCTCAGTTCCATTTTAATTATAAAATGTGAATTCAAAATAAAAATATTTAACATTAGGGGTAGATAATACGGCTACCTCGAGATTTTTGCGCAAAATAAATATTGATACGGTTTGGATGCAGAAGAAAATAAAATGAGGTGAGAACAGGGGTGGAGTATTATGGAAAGGCGTTAGAGGGGGTGCGACACCTGATACGTCCAATGCCACTGACAGCCTGCTCCATCCAGCGCTATGATACCCTTGATGCAGCACCTCCACATCCTGTTAATGCGGACGTTTAAGGAAGGGTGGAGGCATGGGAGTTCAAAACTGTGCCACCAATAGCAACAAAGTCTGAGATTGAGTGAACGAAAATGATGATGAATCAGAGGGTTTAATTTGCATTTGACACAAAGAATATGAAATGTACAAACCTTAAATTTTCACACGATTTGCTGTTCCATGTGCCACAAGAATCGATCGGCTGGCACAAATGCTGGGTCTGTGGAAGTAGTTGATGCTAAATATGTAACACTTTACTGAAACCTACTTATGATTCTCTTATCCTCTGCCGTAGTATTTGCGGGAAGTGAATCATTTTAAAAATGATAAGTGATGTGAGTCCAAGAGATAAAGAGGGAAAGAGGAGAGTAGAAAAACGGGAAGGGAAAGGGTAGTCAACTAACGAAATTTACTTAAGCAAAAGGAATCAATTACAGTTAAGTAGATATCAGGAAAGACAGCGCAAGAGAGCCGCAGGTCAGAGGAGATTTTTCTACCCTCAGCAACGACTAGGGAGTAGACAGTAGCTGCGTTTTCTTTACGGGACTAGTGATAGTGTTAGCAGTAGTGATAGAGGTGGTTATGGTGAGGGAACTGTAAGTAAATGATTTTAAATGTAACGCATTAGCGTTTTTCGTCATTCGTGTCACCTTTTCGTTGCATTTCATCACCTCACAATAACACAAAATGTGGAGGAAGTCCCTGCTTCATGGAATCAGCCTAAATGGCACTATTACCTTATGAGTGTTGCAGTTCATGCAGATGGGTCTATTAGTGTGCCACTTCCCACAAATAGCCGAACAGCCAAGTGACACGCAAGGGAAGCAAGGCCAGAAAGGGAGAGAGCGTGAGGTAGGGAGTGGGAGGAGAGCTGGGGTTATTATATCTTCATAAAAGTGGAAGGAAGAATAAGAAGAAGGAAATAACTCGGCTTGGTAACTGCTTAATTCCGTCCTTCCTTGCCCCATTTCCCTCTTTATTCATTTATTTATTTAATGCATCAGATGTTGGTAAGATGAGGAGGTGAGAAGCATAGGGCAACCGTTGACGACTGCAATACCAAAGTAGCGTTTAGTAAAACCTGCTCTCGTGTGGGCAAGTTGAAGGAAAATTGAATGCGTTGCGTATGGAAAAGAAAGTCCCTTTTCCTTCTAGATAATCGCAAAATTTTCCCTCTACAGTATCAAATCGCAACCAGTAATAGCAAAATAATACTAGCACCAACATCTTTAGGCCACATTGTAATATGCTCTGTTCCCCCGTCACTGAGACAAACAACAACAGGTCCAACATAAAATTGACACAATTGAATATTTGAGAATTCAAATGCCTCTTAAAATTAACGGAATGGAGAGGTTACTGCACTTATATAGGCACACCGAAAGCCTTTTGATTACTTAAGATGACGATGATCACAATGACAACAAGCACAAGGGCACATTTAGCAAACGAGTGCGATTCAGTTGCTACCTCGATCTCTTCACCACCGTAAGCGCACTTGGAACCAGATAAAAAAACTATGTAATACTTCTCTGCCAATGCACACATTCAACAACTGCTACCAACACAACCACCACATCCACGCATGGTGAACGAACCCGACGAAGCCTACCAAAATACTTTACCCCAAAGAGGGATGCGATGAGGAATCAAGTAACGACCGATGCAACCGAACACATAAAAGCGTGAGAAGTAGCCAGTCTATTCAGACCAGGCAAATAGTCGCTGCGAGGAAAGCACACCGAAGACCGAGGAGCGAGAGAAAAGGAAGAGAACCAGATACCCTAGTCAAGGTACAAACACAGGATTAAGCCAAGCATCATTGCGACTACCACTACTACCTTCGTCCGCAAGGCATTCACATCCGCTGTGATGGGTAAAAGGGAAGACAAAAGTTCATCACACAGCCGCGCCACTCAGTCTACCATTTATCAGGATGGAACGAAGATGATATTTGCACAGCCAAAAAGAGATGCACAAATGAGCAACCCAGGGTAAAGTAAATATAGGAGCGCACGTAAACACACGCAACTTCTCCACTTACCTCTTAACGTTATCTAAATCTTGAGAAGCCATTCATCTTCGTACTTATTCAAAGTATCAAAAACTAGCGCTCTCCTACTTACCATCGCATGGAAGACAAACACGCATCACCTTAATATGTTCACAGAACAATTCCAATAATTGCAAAAGAAGGCGAAAAAATAGAAGCAAAAGCAAACGCTCGCCACCGAGAAAAGACCATACAGCATCGCAAATGTACCGTATGAAGACGTCAACAAAAAGGGGCACGCACGCGTAACCGCTACTTTCGAAATGTTTGCTTCTTAGAATCTTATCTCTTTCGATTTTTAATGCGTTTCACTGCATTTCGTGGAGCAGTGCACGTAATCAACCCCCTGACTAGTCTTTATCAACCTTTTGCTTTCTACTGACAAAATTCATCACGTGAAGCGCAGTTCCGCAGTATTAATCACTAACGCACCGATCCATCACTTACCTGCATTTTAACTTCTCTATTTTCTACTGAGATATTGATCACCTCTGTATTTCTCAACTCCATCTCTCTTTTGTTTTGTTTTGAGATATGTTGCATCACGTGGAATGGAGTTTTTAAAACATTGATCACCGACACACCACGTATTCACATTTCTGCCTCCTACTAAAACCTATTTGTTCTCGTGAAGCATTCATTTAAAATATTGATCACAGTACCATTACGTCATCACTTACCTCACTCTAATCAATATCGATCTTCTGCTTTCTACTCAGTTAAAATTAATCAAGTGGAACGCAGTTGTGAACTATTGATCACCAAAACACCACGTATTCACAAAGCTGCCTACCAATTTCATCTCTTACATTCTACTCGGATTTATTGCATAACGTAGAACGCATTTTTGAAACATTGGTCGAAAGCACGCAATATACGAATTATCTGCCTTTCAACTTCCACTCCCTTTCTCTTTTATTTCGATATATTGCATTTTGGTGGAAGGTGATTTAAAACATTGATCACAAGCACACCAAGTAATCACATTTTTTGTCTTCACACCGCAACTACACCCATCTGTCTCTCATTTCCTCCCCTTTTCGCCCTTTAATAACCTAATTACCTCTCTAGTCGCGCTTTTCGATAATTTTTTTTGCAAAATTCGGCTTCAATCAAACAATTCTTTTATAAAATTGATTAGAGACGGACCGTTTAACCACCTAATTCCTTCATGCACATTCGCACTGTCGGTTTCTTCTGCAACATTCTGCATCACGTGAAACCATCTTTTGGTATCTTTACCATCGACAGAAATGATGGTCGCCTATATACCCTCCGCTCTCCCTCTGTCCTTTGCTCTTGCATTGTTATGCGTCAAGTTAAATGCTCTTTCAAATGGTTGATAGGAAAAAGACCATTTAACCACATATCTGCCTCTCCACTGGCTCCCTCTTTAGCTTCAATATATATATTATTATATATATATTATATATTAACAGATAAGTTATTTACCAAACTGATTTTATTCTCGCTCAATCTTTTAATTTCTATTGCGTACGTGGAGCACAATTTTGAAATATGGATCACTCACAGCGAAGATACCCATTTGTGTACCTCTCGGATCGTCCTCGCTGTCTGTTTCTGCTGCAATATTATTCATCATCTGGAACGTCCATTTGATGTATCTATCTTGATAGACCACTTAACCGACTAGCTGCCTGTCTAGTCAATCTTTCTGCCAGGTCTTATTGTTGTATTGTGCGTCGAAGTAAACGTCATTCCAAATTATTGATCAGGAAGAGACAATTTAATCACCCAGCTACCTCTCTTCTCCCTCACTTATAGCTCTCTCGTTCTTTTATTGCGGATTTTGAACATGTTTAAGGATTTTTCGAAACATTGACCACCATCTTACTCCTTTTTTTCTCATAATTTCAAAGGGCGCTCAAGTACTATTTTTGAAGTTGCTAGTTTACACCAACTTGTATTTTTTTTACGAATTGCAGTGACGCAAAAATGTGAAAAGGTGGCAATCCTGGAGTTTATTTTGCCATGTCCAGAGTCATACTGTTTGTCACCTTGCTTTATAATAAGGAAGCTGGCCCAAATCGGGTCAACAGTCTTTAATTTTGGTCACAAAGACAATCAAACGATGCAGCAAAAAAGGAAATGACGCCACTAGCTACCATTTGGCCTTAGCTCAAGTCACTTCTGGACGTCATCCAGACAGTCCGATGAACACCATTAGAGGTTGCTTTGGCAAAACAAAGTAGCTAATAATGTACTTAATAATGGGGGAACTGACGTCATCCGAGTCCACAGGAAGCCACTGCAGCTCTTTTTTACGGTCAAATGGCGTAATTGTGAAGGGAACAGCTTCATCAAAAGACACTGGAAAGGGAAATGAAGTCCTATCTTAGAAACAATGCCATCAGACACCCCCGGGCTTTATTTTTGGTCACATTGAAGGTCAGCTGACGTCGCTATGTACAAAATGACGTGGTTCGAGATTAATAGATGCAATTTCGGTCTGCTCTGAAGGTTAAATGATGTCTTTTACGAGCCTTGAATGTCGTATTGTTTTAATGTGTATACAAGTTGGAGAAAAATGGGATGATTAGCATATCAAGAGGCCTCTTGACGTAACATTCAGTCTGTGATACGTTCCTGCTGCTTAACATGTTGGATTTTTGTTAACAATTTTTATTACTTGTTATGCAACGGTAATCATGGTGCATTTCACTTATATCGATTGTAAGAATCGTTCTAATTCGGTTGCTGTTGGGGCTTAACCGCACATCCTGCAGGGCGGCAACCAATCATGGAAGCGCAAGAATAGAGGCATTACATTTCCTTGGGTTTGGACCCGCGCCGACTGTTGCACAACGACCCTTCTTCATAGCTCTGAAAGCGAAGGTTGCAGTGATGGACGCAGTAACCGATTTTTGTCCATTTTTCATTATGCCAGCATGCCGCCTTAACCTCTGCATGGCCCTTAATGCAACCGTGTTAATGATTGCTCACCCGACCCAGTATACCCATCCATTTACTCCCTACGACCCTTCCACTTATCCACCTCACTTCACCCCGTCTACTCACCCCACATCGCACTTCACACCCTCTCTCCTTCGTTCCCTAATAACACTCTCTTAGTGGGTTCGCATTTGTGTGTTTCATGTCTTTCCTGGCACCATCCCTTACCATCCAACCCACCATCACCTCACTTTACGCTCCTTTGATGAACCGCTCCTCTACCTATCCTCCATCCAACACGATTCACCTTTCCTCCCTTGGCCCCTTCTTTCACCCTTCAATCCCCACCCACCCATCCCCATCCGCCAGACCTCACATGCAAGCACACTTTCTTCGTTGTTCTCATCATTATTATCAATTAGCATCACCACTGCACCCTCCCTCACCTCACAAACACTTCCCATCCTCCTATATTCAATATGGTGACTCGAATCACTCGCACGCACGTGCGCACGCTTTATGGCAGACAAAGTTAAGCACCAGGACTTTTTATTTTATTTTATTTTTTATTTTTAATGCGCATATTGCCATGCACAACTTTTTAGTTCTGCACAATCTCGTGCTTCTCCTAATCCTTACCCATTTCACCTCCTCCTCGATTTATTTCTTTGACACTATTTTGAGCACGCGCCTATGAACCGCTGGTTGAGAGCTGTTGTCTGTGTTTCCTTAAAAGAAGGGCTTTGGTGACCAAGTTCACAAGCGAATGGGAGGAAGTAAGTGAATCGCTTCTTTCCCCGCATTGTACCGTTTACATTGTCGTCGCTGCAAGTGCGTATTGCAACAGAATACGCCGAGCGCCACCAAACTATTTGTTTTTAATTAGGGAGCGGAGCATAAGCCAGCCACCTTCTACTGTCATTATATGTTACGTGTGGACGTCAAATTGTGTACTTTACTTTGCGCATTGTCAACTTTGATTTCATTTGGGGGTTTGATGTATCATATGTATTTGGGTACTGTAGTCGGTTGACAAGACTAGGTACGGAGGCGGGTTTTCTGTGGCCATGGAAGAAGAGTGAAACGATCGCTGGTCGGTGCGTGATCCGCTCGGATGTAGCATTAACCGTGGAATTTATCCGAGAGTTGATTCTACACGAGAGTAGAAAGATGAAGATGGTCAAATGGGTCAGTCTCATGTTAATGTGCGAAGGATAGGAGACTTACGCCAGAAGTTATACTTTTTAACATTTTCAGACACGGATTCGGTCAATTGTTGAACCATCTGCTTCACTGAAAAGCATAGGAGATGTCAGCATATCGTCTCAATGCAACAGTTCGAGCCTTCTGTTAAAAGACCCGGACTGCGTGTTGGAATTCGGGGAGTTGGATTTAAGCTCACTCCACACTAGTAGTGTAGATCACAAGCCACAAAATTACTTACCGGAACTGTGCAACTGCTCGTATTCATTATCGTCTCTACATCCTACAGCATTGAGTCCGTCATGAAGAACGAGGAAGGTGGATGAGAATCAGCATTTTGCAAAGAACACATTAAAATTTGACATACCCTGGGGTTGTAGTGAGGCCTCCTTCATGTCTTCTTTTTCAGTTGGCCCAATCCACCTGCAAAGGTTTATCTTTCAACAATGATCCCATCCAAATTCCTGTACCGAGTTGAGGTTAACTATGCTAGACAAGATGCATCCTGAGGATGGACTTACAAATTTGCCGGAAATCGGTAGATTTCACCTGTCAGTGGATCGACAACTTCGATGTCGAGACAAAGGCGGGCTCCTGATGGAGACGCTGAGATTGGTCCGATGCGGCATTGGGTGAGACATCCCAAATAAACTGCTTCAATAAAGCACTCGTAAACCTAAAGGAAGGGTACACAGCTAGTGCTCCCATCGAAACGGGGCATCCTTCATTGCTCTTTTATAAACTCCTTGTGCTTTGTCGCTGCTTATGCATGCAAAACAGGACTAAAACATTGGTTGCCACCTCCACGATGATAGCTGGAGAGAGGAGGAGGAGAGTTGCCTATTTTAACGCACGTACTTAGTGTGAAGGAGGAGAGCAAACGATGGCAAACACTCTGAACACAATCGCAGGAATGCCATTTAACTCATCCCAATTGTAAATCACCTTCGCATCAAAGGAAACTAGTCCGAACAATGAAATTTTTATTTAGAGAATAATGCTTTCAGCCGCATTTGACGAGCAGAGCTTGGTCAATATTTCACAATCTACAACTTCATTCAGTCTTGACAAAAGCCTACAACTGCTTACATTATGTGCAAAGCATACAGTTGTCCATCAGCCTCCTTACAGTGGCTGTAAACCAACTTTGAATTTAGGTGTAAAAGAACACCCCCATCTGTGGAATGAGTGCAATAAGTAGTACGCTTGCAGCTACTGCAGAGACGCACCTCCAAGTTATCCTCGTCATTGTCATCCAGCTTTTCGAAAGACGGGTTCACGAGAACAATCAATCGTCGGCCGGTATCACCATAACGGCCAAGGAGAGTGGCCTTTGGATTGGGGTAACTTTGCTGATTCGCCTCTGATACAGACCGAGTGTATAATTTTATGCGGTAAAGGACTACTCCGGCGCTCGGGTCAAGGCCATCTGAGGTTAGGATCTCGACAGGTAGGACATCCTTAACTGGTTCCCCAGACCTCACCTGCTCCCTGCTCAGTTGGCAATGGTTGAACATTCTTATGAAGGGACGATTTGTGAAATCGAATGTGATTTGCTCGTGAGTAACCATATTTTCAAAAACAGCCTTAATTTAAAGTGTTGCTAGGTAGTTGTAAGCAAGAACTCATTACCTTTATCAGTCCCCAATATGGCAATTCTGATTTCATCACTTGATTGACTTCCAAGCGAATCTTAAAGATCTCACCTATGCCCGCAAGGTTGACCTAGCGAAATCCGGACTTTTAAAGCAGAAATAATGACTTACTTTAAACTGGTCAATATTTCCGGCTCGAAATAAACACTTTTCACAATCGGAGGTACCAATGATTATGGGTCCAGAGTTGCCTCGTGTTCCATAGACCACAAGAACAATGAGAGCGTTGAAGGCCGATTCTGACGTGTGCAGCTGAACCTTCCAGTCGGCGTCTATGCACGACCATGCTCAACGTCAGTAACTATACTGTTAATAAATTGCCAGCTTTTCAACCTTGCGCATCAACTTCATTCCAACGTCTCGCATATCAGGCTTTATTACTTATTTGTATTCAGTAGCGTAAGACCATTCACGTGCCTCTACTTCCACCTTCCCACTTTCCTTTAAGAAGTTTCCTGAAGACAGACAGGAGCAAATGCACTACTGTGTACTAAAAATAACCTTATGTACAGGGTCCATTTAGGCAAGGTCTTAAGCAACGAAGTTGGTATTCTAAGTTCGCCTCGCAACCAGGCGAGTGAACAGGATCTCGTAGTAAACATTCCCTGCTTGAGGCTTCAGAAACCACCTAGGACTGAAACGATGAGTGCGGCTCTCCCAAAACAATTCTAAATCTCAAGTTACTAAACAGTTTACAGCTTGAAGTAAATAACTAACACCTTCGCGATTCCCTACTTAAATATGGTTTAATAGCTAATAATCTCTTCGTGGTCTTTTGTGTGGAAAAATGAATGGAATATCGAAAAACCAAAGGTGAAATGAATTTCTTCTCACATCTTTTTGTTTCTTTAATCATTGTGTCTTCTAAATTGCTAGACCTAAGCGCCATATTCTACCAAACAAGGTCATGGGAAAGTGCAGAAATGTATTCATATAAGCTTACCCTTGTTTAACTTTTTGTTGATGGTTTCACCTCGCTGCCAGAGGCTTTTATCGCTGGGTAGATTTGATTTAGAAGTGAAATCCTCTTCCTCAAGCACTGGCCTGTCTCTATCCAGTGAATGGGATGCTGACTCGGAGATTATGGAGCGACTTTTGGATGGCGTAGATTCGCTCAAGGTGACCGACTGGGAAGCTGACATGCTTTGAGCGTTCCGCTTTTTTCCAACTTTGCGATAAAGAAGGATTAAGCATCATTTAGTTTGTTTGTTTCACGATTTATGCCAATCTTATTTGTAGCCACCCGTGCTTACATATGGCAATGACTCTGTACCCTTGTAGATCGTAATCCATTGAGGTCTTGGAGTGTTATCCTTGAATGCCTTAAAATTTTTTCATATTTAGTTTTATGCGGGCAGTGCAAGCGAAAAAGCGCACTTGGTAAAGCTCGGATGATGCAAGTTGGAACAGAAATAAGGTCGGTGTATTCTAAATTCTTGGATGGACATTAAATGTACTGTTGGCTTCAAAAAGAGATGCTGAACAACTTGTATTTGCTCAAATTTGCCTTCTAGACGAAACACATCGGCCAAGAAACAATAAAACTTCTTAAAGCACAGGCATTTCTGTAGGAGGAACTCCTGTACTAATCATAGTCTAGAGATTGGTGGCACTAGGACAGGTGTGATTTTGCAACCGAGGTGTTGAAACGATAGCGCTTTAATAGTAATTGTTGTCAGGCTTCAGTCGGCGTCAGGAAGGTCGAGTCGAGACTCAGTATAACGGTTGGTGTTGAGTTTTCTCCTCTCGTCTCAGATGCACAATTGCACAACTCTTCACATTAATAAGTGGCTCAAGCTTAAGTGCGTAACAGTAGGAAAGTGGTTCCCTTCCAATTGCCACGACTTCGTTTTACTTTTTAAACATGAATTTTGCATTACTCAAGGCACGGCGTTGATTCGCGAGACGTTTGTTTGCATGACTGTCAACTTATTCCTTGGCCAAGCACACAGAAAGCCAATTTGGTCTAAGTTGCGTGGAGAGTGGAAAGTCGGATGGAAGCAAACCGTGTGCCTGTCTGGCTTTAAGCAGCCTCTGTGATTTTTAAAGCAATTAAGAGTTTGTTTATGCAACACGTCTTACGTAACGAGGTTATTAAAAGGGGTGGAATGATTTACTGTAAAACTTGGAGTAATAAATCAACTCTTACACTCGACTATGAAGGGGTAGAACCTGCCGCACTTATTGTCCGCATTGTTTGATGCGGTGACGAAGCCGTTGGTGTTAATATGCAAAAGGAGGCGGGGAAATTTAAGTGATTCGAGGCGAATAAATCCTTGTCCTCTTTCCCTCAGCACGACAAAGTGACATGTACTATCGCCCCTGCCCTGTAAAGCGTAAATAGACAAAAAAAGGCCTCAGCAGAGCCCCAACATCTGGGTAAAAATATTCAAGATGAGCGTCAGGAGTTGCTAATAAATCTTTCAATAGTAAGTGTAAATGAAGCAAAATCGCACAAGCCAGCACCTCTTTTAAAGGAGGTCTACATTC